ATGAGTCGATGCAATCAGCTGGTTTTCCTTAGATAGAAAACTTTGAATCAATCTGACTGGATGATCTGGTGAACTGGAAAGTGACCTGAGATGACCTGATGTGAATTGGAGCTATAGAAATAAACTGAATAGAATTGAATAAACACCAACATCAGCTGCTTAAGGTGAAATACGCTGCAGGTCGAAGTTCCTTCACTGTATTTTCTTATTTTTATGACCAGGTTGTTAGAAATCCTTCTTTTATATGTCAGTTTTCTATGTCTGAGACCTTTAGATGTTTAATTCTGCCATAGAAACTCTTTGACAGAATAAGGCTGATTTATATAACAGTCTATGTTACCATGACAAAGGTTTTCCGAGGTGTTTAGTTCTTCGATGCGATGGCTTCTGTTACCTGCATGATGCAGCTTGGCGGCGCTCTTCTTCACCTCGTCCTGCGACTGTCCGTCAGTGATGGCCACCACCACCTTGGGGACGTTCCTTCTCATCCCGTTCTCCACGGAGAAGGCCTTCTCGTACGTGTGTTTCAGAGCCTCCCCTGTTCAGACGGACGGCGGATGTTAAAAGCCGGGAGTCAAACGGACCAACCTCGCCGCTGAGGGCCTGTCAAACCAGACCTGTCTTAGTGTTTCCTCCTCTGTAGCGGATGAGGTGCACGGCTGCCATGGCGATGCCTTTGTCGTCGTACGAGTTGAGCTTGAACTCCGTCTTTGAGCCGTCGCTGTACTGCACGAATGACACCTGAGTGGAAGAGGGGAGGTTATCTATTCTTCTTATCAACACAGCACTTCTACTTACAAATATCAAATGATTCCTTTACTTTACTCTATAATTTATTCAAAAAACATTTATGTTATTAAATGATTTTTTAATAATTACTGCAACATAACATAATCATTTCAGGAGAAAACAAAGTTTTCCTGTTTTTATCTCGATCCGTTTAACCAGAGAAGATAACCAACCTGCATCCCTGATGGTCCGACGACGTCGAAGGCGGCGATGATGCTGGAAACAAACTGAACAACTTTAGTGAAGCTCTCCTCGCCGATGCTCCACGAGCCGTCGATGACGAACACCAGGTCTGCTTTGGCTCCTTTACAGACTGGAGACAAACAACAAGTCTGAGAGTCTCATCAATTTGAGGCTCTAAGAAGACTTTGACTAGACGGCTTCATTCTTCTCTTGCTCCGTCATTCGGTCATAGACCCGCTTCTCTAACTGAGAAGAAGCGAAACGGCGAGGAGGATCGGTATCGGCTCATTGGTCCAAAAAGCTGGGTGTTTCTGGTCGGATTTTAAACTCAGCATCAAGGTAAATACGGAGAATTTTGGAGGGTTTTCCAACAATTATCTTACGTTCACGTCTAAAGAGCTTTGAGCTAATTTAAAGCCACTTTACATGCAAAGTCTACGCGCATCAAAAGGTCCTGCAGCGCCTCTAGAGTAGCAGGAGCGGCGCATCAACCAATGAGAGAAGCTGATCTGGGAGCTGGCAGGGAGTCA